TGCCGAGTAGCGAACCCATTTAAAAAAATTTACAATTTGCTAATCACTCAAAAGATTCTATATTTATTAATTAGTCTATCATGGTCTAGAAAAATGCTTGTTTAAATAATATTTTGAAGGATTTTCTGGACTTCACTACCTTTCAGTAACACTTAAATCGTCAACTGTCTAAATAAAGATTTTATTGTTGTGATCAGCAGTTTAATTTTTTTTCGGAATGAAGTTCCACACAGACGAATGCAATTTGAGATAAATCAAATTTCTTTAATAAAAATTATTATTTTAGTATTTAAATGACGAGAAATAACGAACATTGTCAGTTTCATACTGATCGCTATTTTCGAGTTTTTAAGATTTTAAGGCTCTAAAAGCTTTTCTTCGTCCCAAATTGAAGGAGGAGCTCGGCCGAAAGTCGCTTCAGCGGTTATAAAGCGGCAATTATATATACATGTCTTCCGTCTATCACAACATGGTTGTGGGTTTTTCGATCTGGAGACAGCCAAGTTGAAATGAAATGTAAGCGAATTTTCTTCGGCTGGAATCTATAGCTACAGACAACTATATATATCGGGCCCCGGCGAAGTCGATCAGCCTCCATCCATTTGGGGATGTTTCGTCGTGCAGGCAGTTGTGTCGAAGATACCTTCTTTGCCCATTTTGCTCATTAGTATGTTCGAGAAGCTCGTAAAAGGCATTGTCTTGCTCTGCCGTCATGGCGTAGGCGGGTCAAAAAATTTTCTTAGAATGAGCTTAAATCAAATAAATAATTGTCATTTTGTTCGATAAACTTTTGCCATCTTCCTGGCAAATTTATTATTCCTCACTCATAGAACTTCTGGCCTTTATCTGCAAAAAAGTGAACCAAGTGCGATTTTATAGCCTCATCATTGCCGAAAGTTTTACCATTTAAGGAGTTCTGCAAAGATCGAAATAAATGGTAGTCTGATGGTGCAAGGTCAGGGCTATATGGTGGATGCATCAAAAGTTCCCAGCCAAGCTCACTCAGTTTTTGGCGAGTGACCAAAGATGTGTGCGGTCTAGCGTTGTCCTGGTGGAATATGACACCTTTACGATTGACCAATTCTGGTCGCTTCTCCTTGATGGCTGTATTCAATTTGTCCAATTGTTGACAGTAAACATCCGAATTAATCGTTTGGTTCCTTGGAAGCAGCTCAAAATATACGACACCCTTCCAATCCCACCAAACAGACAGCATAACCTTCTTTTGGTGGATATCAGCCTTTGAAGTGGTTTGAGCTGGTTCACCATGCTTGGACCATGATCGTTTTCGACTAACGTTGTTGTAAACAATCCATTTTTCATCTCCAGTTATGATTCGTTTTAAAAACGGATCGAATTCATTGCGTTTAAGGTGCATATCACAAGCGTTGATTCGGTGTGTTAAATGAATTTCTTTCAATACATGTGGTACCCAAATATCAAGCTTTTTCACCAGTCCAAGACTTTTTATGTGATAATGAACGGTTGATTTTGGTATATTTAACTTCTCTCCTATCTCACGCTCAGTTACATGACGATCCAATTCGATTAATGCTTTGATTTGGTCATCATCAACTTCATTTGGCCGACCTGAACGTGGCTCATCTTTAAGTGAAAAATCTCCAGAACGGAATTTGCGAAACCAATTTTGACACTGTCTTCCTTTTAAGGCTTCATCACCATACACATCTCGTAACTTTTTAGCAACCTGCTCCGCGTTTTTTCCTTTACGGAAATAATAAAGTAAAATATGACGAAAATGCTCCTTTGTGGGCTCCATATTAAAATTGACGCCAAACAAACAAATGTAAACAAAATTTCGCGCACTTTTTTTCTAAAGCAAGCTAAAAGTAACAGCTGACAACTGACAGAAGAAAGAATGCAATTACAGAGTCACAAGCCGTTAAAAAAATTTGTCAACGCCGACTATATGAAAAATCCACAATTACTTTTTGGGCAACTCAATACCTTATTTATGGCATTATATCTATCATTTTATGTACCTTTGTAGATATTTATAGCAGTTTATTTGACCTTAAAGGAATGATTTTTTTTGCCATTGAAAGACAAGATTGTAAGGTGATATAAATTTTTTTAGGCTAGTCGCGGGTATATAGTTTGCAAAGCAATAAAGTTATCATGAAATAAAAATTAACACATCACCTGATTTGCAAACGTCATACGCGTATGATCAATACACTCGTACACAATGTAAGTATGTACATACACGTATGTATGTAACTATATTTATCCATATACAATAATTAATATTGAGTTATTTACATTCTGTCAAAAACGTAAATGATTAGAAATAAAGACAACATTGTTTATGAGAGACATCGTTGCTACAAGCATTGAAGATAGATAATTTGCGAAAAATTGGAAATTTGTAAGTTAGTTCAAATCATGTGAGATTGATTGTGTGTTTATACTTGTAGCATTTGATTGAGGCGTTTTCCTAGCATGGTTCCTGGGGGCTGCCTATATAATTATTAAAAGAAGGTGGATGGTTTAAACCTACCCTAAATAACAAATGTTAATAAATATAAATAAAAACATTATATAAGATCTTAAATATTGTCTTTTTTTTCAACATCAAAAAGGTAGATAAATATGATCTAAAAGATCATAATGAACTTTTAGGATGTTGTCACAATTTAGCTGTGAGAAAAATTGAATAAACACGAATATTTTTAATTTTTATTAAGTAAACTACGAGGCCTTGTTGTTTGTATGAATTGTATACTCGTTATACAACAAAGAAAAAATGGTAGAAGTGACAGCTGTTTCGGAGATCTGGAGACAGCCAAGTTGAAATGAAATGTAAGTGAATTTTCTTCGGCTGGAATCTATAGCTACAGACAACCATATATATCGGGCTAAGTAAACTACGAGGCCTTGTTGTTTGTATGAATTGTATACTCGTTATACAACAAAGAATAAATGGTAGAAGTGACAGCTGTTTCGGAGATCACCACATCTCCTCATCAGACTTCTTACGGCAGGGATCGAACCAACCAACGGATCCTGACTTAACAGGCGAGTGTTCTACCACTGCGCCAACATCAGCCATATAATCTGTTGTTGTATTATTCAATTCATTATTAACCAACAACTATTAAGTGCGCTAATTTAGCTGCTATTTTCTTAACAGCTTGGTTAGTGTTTGGTTTTATGATATATAATATTTTGTTTTGCAGTTAAGCAATAAAAAGTAAGCGTGAGTGTTTTGTTAAAGATTTAGGTCTCGAGTCTTAATATGTTGACGATAAACGACGAGGTATATGACATGGCTAATTAATTTCACAGTGGCAGGTGTTAGAGAGCTTAAAGGTAAAGCAACAATATAAGTAAGTGCGTGGAGCACTCCATTGCCCTTTGAGGGGTTCGAACTTTTTCACAGACTTTAGCATTACTGTATTTTCGAACATTAACGGGGGGTTAGGATCATTTAACTTATTTGTCGTATTATCGTACCTGTTAGAAAGTGTCAACTAGTGGAGAGCTGTAATCCTAAGCCCATTGCAGCGATTTTCATGTGGAAGGAAGTAGCTGCTATAAGGAGGCGGTGGATTTACTATTTCGAAGTGTGACTTCTGCGTGGTAGGCTAACATTTGCTCAGACATAAAATCGGCAATTTCGGCCTACTACCCTTGGTGATCTTCAATATTGTGAAGCAAAGTTTTTTATTCCTTTCGACAGAGTTGACCTATTTCAAAATTTGTGTACCGGGTCATAGCGAAATTGCTTGCAAGTATAGGCGCCACCAGTTCCTTAAAGCCGGATGAGGCTCAGATGGTAGCTGTTGTCCACATTCTATCTGCATCTGGACAGCTAAGTATTGTGCCAACTCGGCAAGCGCTGGGCTATCTTCTTAATATGCGCGGTCGCTAGACCCTTTTTGACCTTGGTGAAGCATGGAAGGTCAGGAAAGCTTTGTTTTATAACAAGACTAAAGCCATCACACGTTGTGAAGAGATATTGTCCATTGGTAATTTGCGCGTTAAGACTTGGAATTCTTCAGTATCCCCACTGCCGTTGTTGCTTGGAAGTAGGGAGAGAATCATATATCCAGTTTCTGTCCAGACCACATAGCTTCGTTAAACCCAAGGAGCTAACATATATTGTCATCAAGCTAATTTATAGATTGGCAATAAACAATACACTAAATGAAAAGTGTTATAATGTTCAGGATTAGATTACTCTTTTTTGATCAGCCACTTATGCCACACGATCTAGTTCTCTTCTTCGACTGGGTCAGAGTTATTGAATCTGGAAATACTTACAATCCTCTTTAAGGTGTCGATTTCGAGATACAGTGATATACTAGCAGCGAAGCAACTCGAGAAACAGTGAGGGTACAAAGGTCATACACTGGGAATCATCTACACCATCATAGTTGTTACGAGATTGAGGGGAATACGCTGTTTAAGCATCAGACCTTGAGGGAAATGGCATTGAGGGACAGTCTAATGGACTTTACCTTGACGTCACCTTAAGATCCATACAGTTCGATTCATTAAGAGGACATATAGAATCTGTTAAAGACGTCGCAGCCGTTCATTCAATCGTACGACTTGTAAATGATGAAAGTGTCCCATATCCCTGAGGATGGCTGTAATTTCGATGGAATGTGTTCTGAAGATTTCGGAAGATAGAAGGCATTCCAGCACCGGGTGATACCATTGTGTTAGGTATCAACCAGGATGCCTACTATTCTTTGAATCCGTGGATGCTAGTGCTAAATTTCGCTTCCCGATTGGGCAACCTTATGTGGTTCAACAAGACTTTCGCTTCAAGGATTGCTAAATTATTAAAAGAGCTCCTATTAATGGGACAAATTCAACCAAATTCACTACTTACATATTAACATAATTAAAATCCATTTTTACTTTTAATGTTTCAATTATTATGATAACTATACTATAAAAATTTGATTGACATATACATATGTACAAGCATTAAAATATATGTAAATATTTATGTTTTTTCTTTATAGGTCCAGCTCATTGGGCTAAACAATTCCCGCAAGCTTCTGGACACAGACAATCACCAATTGATATTTCTCCATCCTCGGCAAAGAAAGGTAGTGAACTGAATGCGGCACCGCTGAGATGGCGTTATGCTTCGGAAAAAACCGTTAGTCTTGCAAATCCAGGTACTTAATTACATTGAAATTGTTAGATTTGCTATTTTCATTTTGGTTAAGTGGGATCTTTGCAGCAGATTTTACTCATTCGGTAAACAAAAATTAAAAAAGATAGATTTGCATATCCCATTGAAAATAAGAGGTTTTTTTTTGTGATTTCGGGCTAGTGACAGCCGCGGCTGGCTCAAATAAATTCAGAAAATAGACATCTTCTCGTAGCAATAACACGACGCGCATCCAAGCGATTTTTCATATATTATATATTATTGTGAGTGCATAAGTTCGTGCCCGATTTTAAGTGCAAACTAAAATTGAAATTTTTTGAAGAAAGCGCTTTTATTAATCAATTATGTTTTCGCCATCATGTTCGGCAATCCACTCCCAACGTTCAACCAATTCGTAGAAATCGCGCGGTTTCTCGTTGAAAAAGATGTCGAGGTGGTTTTCGACGTCTTCCACATTTTTAAATATTTTTCCATTCAAATTGTTCTGCAGCGATCGAAACAAATGATAATCAGAAGGTGCAATGTCGGGTGACTATGGGGGATGCGGCATGATTTCCCAATTCATCTCCTTCAGTTTGGCCAGGGTCGGTTTTGCAACATGTGGCCTGGCGTTGTCATGATGGAAAAGAACTCCTTTGCGATTGGTCAAAATCGGACGTTTTTCATCAATTGCTTTCTTCAATTCGACCAATTGCTGACAATACTTATTGGCAGTGATCGTTTCTCCAGCTGGCAAGAACTCAAAATAGATCACGCCTCGGATATCCCACCAAATGCACAGCAGTACCTTCATCGGATGCAATCCACCTTTCGACATCGGTTCCGCCCCTTCGTGTGCCTGTTTCCATGTTCTTTTGCGTTGAACATTGTTGTACAGGATCCATTTTTCATCACCAGTCACGGGCCGATCCAAAAAAGGTTCGTTTTTGATCCGTCGAGTGTACCCAACCTTTTTTAAACGACGAATTGTTGACGTTCAATTCACTGGCAACCTCTTCCGTCGAAATACGTGAGTTATTCGCAACTAAAGTCCTTAGAACATAGTCATCAAGCTCAGAAGGCCGTCCACTGCGAGGTTGATTTTCGAGGTTAAAATCTCCAGAACGAAATTTCGCGAACCATTTCTCTACTGTGCGGAGTGCTGGAGCACGGTTCAAATAAACTTCACGAATATCTTTAGTTGCAGCGCCTACTGTTTTTCCTTTGCAGAATTCGTATAACATAATATGACGCATATGATCTTTTTCGTTGTCCATCTTCCATGCGTCTTTTCACTAAGCAACTCAAATCAAAATGAAGTTATTTTATGCTTGATTTACAGTTCGGACTGTCCCCTTTCCAATTATATATAATATGTATATATTTCTTTCACGAGCGCCACTCTCAACCAATTCGAACGGCATCCATCGGAATCGGGCACGAACTTATGCACTCATCCAATATATAATATATAATTGGCGCTTTGAAATTGCGGAAGCGAGTTTTGGCCGAGCTCCTCCATCAATTTGCGCTAAGCGTCTTAATGTTTTTCCAACAAACGGAGGAACATACAGTTTATACTAAGCCAACTTTGAACGGATTTTTTTATTTCTTTTTTTTTTTTATTTCATGTCTTAAATACACTCAGAATCATGCGATACTTTTCTTCTTCGTCTGCCAGAAATCTAATAATATTTAGTATTATAAATATCTAAAATATATTTTTTTTACTCAAAAAAAGGTTATTGCTGGAGAGTTGACGTTAAGGGCGACGGATCTGAGCTCACTGGCGGGCCATTGGGCAGTGATATTTATAAATTGGAACAATTCCACAGTCATTGGGGCTGCACTGACGACAAAGGTTCGGAGCATACCGTTGACGGTGTATCATACGCGGGCGAATTGCATCTCGTGCACTGGAACACAACTAAATACGCAACATTCAAGGAGGCGGCCTCCGCTCCCGATGGCCTAGCTGTTTTGGGCGTTTTCTTTCAGGTATAAAAAAAAGAAACTAAATCTGAAAGAAAAAAAAAGTAATAATAACTATAAAATATCCATCTCCAGGCTAGCGACCATCCACACCCGGAATTGGAGAAAATCACTTCACTTTTGCAATTTGTGCTGCACAAAGGCGATCGTGTCACCTTGCCAACCGAATGTGATCCAAGCAAGTTGTTACCATCCACCAAAACTTATTGGACTTATGAGGGATCCCTAACCACTCCACCCTGTTCGGAATCTGTCATTTGGATCGTTTTCAAAACACCCATAGAAGTATCACGCGATCAATTGGACGAAATGCGTAATCTGAATTGTTACGACGTCAAAGAGGAGTGTCCTTGCAATGAATTGAATGGAAAAGTCATCAACAATTTCCGTCCGCCTTTGCCATTGGGTAACCGTGAATTACGCGAAATCGGCGGACATTAAGCCAGACATAATTTACTATGCAAATCATATTCAAGATTAAACAAGGAAAATTGAAACGCTTTTTGGGTGCCTTATCACGCATAGATATTTTTTAAATGTACTTTTTTGATGGTATGTAGTTCGGTATTTCAGTGCAACTGGTATTAGGTGATCTATTAAATATTTAGTAATCTTAAATTTAAATTAAAAATTTCGAAAAAATTTATTAAAATTGTTTGTATATAAGTGTACAAATTATGTGGTTACTATACTTATTACAAACTCTTTTAATACGTTAATGTTAATGTTTAAGTAATACATATATATTGTATATATATACTTATATAAGTATATTTCCATATAGCATAACCATTGCTGTTGTTTGTAAAGCTTTGTATGACAAGTATTTAAATAAACATTATTTCGTTGTTGCAATTGTTAAAAAAATTAATTTGTTTTAATTATCCAAATATCAGGTTGTCAAATATCTCCCTTCCGCTTTTTTGTCTTTGGAATTTCGCGGCTATGTACAAAGCGCTATAGAGTTCGTATCTGGCAACACTATACATAATTTGAAAAGTCTTGGCATAACCTACAAAACAACGCTATTCATGATTAGTTTGGATATTGCGTTCAAACAGTTATAGACGTGTAAACATGGAGTTCACTAACGCCGAAATTCGCGCTATTTTAAAGTTTTCCTTCGTTAAAGGCAAATCCGCTAGAGAAACGTTCCGTGAGATTAATGGTGTTTTGGGGGATGGTACTCTATCACTTCGAACCGCGGAGGAATGGTTTCGACCGGTGAAAACGACACCATGGGTAAGCCAGCCGGCGGAAGACCTGTGACGACAAATACCGATCAAATCATGGAATACATCGAGTTAGACCGGCATATGGCATCTCGTGACATCGCCCAGGAGATGAAAGCTAGTCACCAAACCATTTTGAACCATCTGCAGAAGGCTGGATACAAAAAAAAGTTTAATGTTTGGGTGCCGCATAATTTGACGCAAAAAAAACCTTCTGGACCGAATCAACGCCTGCGATATGCTGCTAAAACGGAACGAACTCGACCCATTCTTGAAGCGGATGGTGATTGGCGACGAAAAATGGATCACATACTACAATATCAAGCGAAAACGGTCGTGGTCGAAGGCCGGTGAATCGTCCCAAACAGTGGCCAAGCCGGGATTGACGGCCAGGAAGGTTTTGCTGTGTGTTTGGTGGGATTGGAAGGGAATCATCCACTATGAGCTGTTTCCATATGGCCAGACGCTTAATTCTACCATCTACTGCGAACAACTGGACCGCTTGAAGCAGGCGATCGACCAGAAGCGTCCAGAATTGGCCAACAGGAAGGGTGTAGTGTTCCACCAGGACAACGCTAGACCACACACTTCGTTGACGACTCGTCAGAAGCTATGGGAGCTCGGATGGGAGGTTTTATCGCATCCACCATATAGCCCGGACGTAGCGCCAAGTGATTACCACCTGTTCCTGTCCATGGCGAATGCCCTTGGTTGTTGGTGGTGTGAAGTTGAACTCAAAAGAGGCTAGTGAAAAGTGGCTGTCCGAATTCTTCACAAATAAGGAGGGGGGGCTTCTACGAGGAAGGTATTATGAAGTTGCCGTCTAGATGGGCACAGATCATCGAACAAAACGGCGCATATTTTAACTAAATCCGATCACTGCAACACTTTTTATAAAGCATTGAATGAAGAGCAAATAAGCGGAAGGGAGATATTTGACAACCTTATATATAGATATATACTTTTTCGTGTTTTCAAATATACAGGGCTGTATTTTGGCTTAAAAGCCAGGCATTTATGGAAATAAATCGCTTAATAATCGCAAAACGAATTCATATTATTCAAGCGTGGCCACGTTTCCTACATTTTGAGGAGACGAGAGCATTTCTCAAATAATAGAGGAGAGACCATTAAAAAACACACTGTCTGTTGCGCTTTTGGTAAGCAGATGTGATAGGACCTTACTTCATTGAAAACGACAACGACGAGACTGTCAATTCGGAGCACTATGGTTGTATGTTAACCCACTGTTTTTCGCCCTGCAACAGGTTTCAACTAGTTAGCGCCACATGTCATACAACATGGCTTTATTATATATGTATGGGCGAGGGTTTACATTCCCTGCCGAGGGATGACCTCAATTAGAAAATGTAGCTAATTTTTTTATTTAAATTAATTTTAAAGGATCTTAAAGTTTTTGGATATTAGTACGACACCAGGAATTGAACCTGAGCCTTCTGAATGCCAGTACGCAATGCTAACGGCAATTTCTACTTAGCGATGTCGGTCGGCCCCCGAGACAGTGTAATTTGACACCGTTTAACTTTTTTGTGCGTCTAGGCGAAAGACCGTGGCGACATTAATCATGTTTTGGCCAAATATGTGCCAAAAAGTAGTCGAAAATTTCCTTAAACGGTTCGAAGTTTGAATGATTTAGTATTTCACATACATATAAAGCCAAGATTCAAAATGTATAATAAAAATCGCACAACAAAATGGATAACCCTGTATAAATGGCGCCTCGTAACTACTGAAGCTCCTCCTCCAAATTTTTTTGTACGTCTTGAGGGTTTTTCAACAAAACCTACCGTTTATACTAAGCCGTCTCCAAATGGCCAATGGTTTTTTATGAGGAGCTTAGATTTTCATATCAGAAGTACACTCGGAGGTCTTGGAATTCCTGCCGAAAGGCGACCGCCATTAGAAAAATTAAATTTCTATAATTTCGGCCGTATGCTGAAAATCGTCTATGTCTTCCCTGACGATCGTCGATGTTCTCCGTCACTTTCTTTGCTTCGTCTTTGTTTGAGTATTCTGTACACGCGGAGACCCTGTGCACAGGAAATTTTCTGTTTTGGGAAATTTTGTGTGTGTGTATTAATACTCAAGCTGTGAAGTTTCCTAAGATGAATAAAATCGGGTTTTAAATAAAAAACAAAACAAAATTTAAATGTTCATCGTAGACTGTGGTGATCGTTGTTGAGTTTGTGCTACGCGAAGTGCCGGTAATTAGCAAATCATCTACTGATGGAACACTTCAGGAACTCTCTCTGAATGTGTTGGCGTATTGTTGCTGCTAATGTTGCGCTGCGGTTCATTGATATCATCATTCACACCAAATATAGTACCAGCTGGACTTAACACCTCTTCGAATCCCATCGAATTTGCCACAGATTCTTCAAGAGAAGACAATACCATCTGCCTGTAAACGGCGGATTCTCTTTACTCTTTCTTGAGATTTGTCATTTTTTTCTTTATTTTAAATTTGAAAATAATATATAAAGCTAAACTGCCGGCCTTTTGGAGCACAAGAAAATTCACCAAGCTACTCGGCAGTTCCCTTATCGAAAAACACAAAACCAGATCGAGTGATAGACGAAAGATTTGTCTCCAGTGTTCTTGACGTGCGCACACTCCGAGGACTCAACATAGAGCCGGATCATTATCTTGTTGCAGCGAAGATGCGCACACGCTTCTCGGCTTGCACACTTGCTTTCTGAGAGCACTCATCAGCACCTTGATAAAAGGAAACAGTGGAACGGCATCTCAAACTCACTATGTACCACCGCTACGGAAACAATTGGTTTTCGGCAGTGCCGGAAAAAGCCTGGTGCGGCGAGGTATGTCGAACGGCAATGGAGAGAAAAAAAGAAAGAGGCCGAAATGCGTGAGTACGAAGAGCTTGAGAGGCTAGCCGACAAGGGTAATGCTCGAAAATTCTACGAAAAGAAAACTCTTATAGGACCCAGGGAGGTGATCTAGGGACGGATGCCCAGAGTATACTGAATTTATGAAGAGAAAACTTTTCCAGCTTGCTGAACAGCAGTGAAAATGAATTACCCGGAGATAGTCGGGGCTGTCATGGAATTCAATTGTTGTGTTGTCAAAAAAATTGCTTTGGTGTTATGAAATCCGATGTTATCGGATTTATGTTCGAATCGGAATTAGTGTCGGTTTTAGGTGTCACAGAAACCAAAATTATCGGTTTTGTTAGCAGAAACAATCCAAGCAACTTACACAAAAATACAATTCTAATTGAATTTATGGAAAAATAACCCGATATTGCGAAGGGGTTCACAAAACGGGACAAACCGTTGATGCTCTTTGGCAGCAATTAACCGATTCTCTCTACGGTGCTGGTCCACCACAAAAAGATGTGAACGCATGGAAAAAGGTAAATGATTATTGTTAATAAAAATTTGATTGCGCTTTTAAATTGTAGTTTTTTATATGTGTATTTACAGACGTGGACGGAATGGAAGACCGATGTCAAGAGAAAACTTACGCAAAACAACGCCGAGTCCAAAGCAACTGGTTGAGAACCCTTCTCCAAATTTCTACTGAGCCAACGGAGGTCATAGTGCGAATTTGTGGCATGCTAAGATCTGTCGTAGGTGTGGCTGGCAATGCACCCGGTCTTCCCAACGAAAGTGACAATGACATGCCATCAACGTCATCGAAGCGGCAAACGTCTCCAAATACAAGCACTCCTAAAAGGCCAAGTAGTGAAAGCACTGGGGAACGCTTGAAAAAATTCCTTGATGAGAACAATGACAGAAAGTTGGATATACATGAAAGATTGGACGACCTCGTGCACATTGAAAAAGAAAACGCCAGTAGCCTCAGATGAGTTTACAGAGCTATTGAAAAAGGCAACAATTCCATAGAAACTGCCGTTACGGATATGAAGGACGAATATGTCCGTATAAATACTGAAATTTTGCGAGCACTAAAAGAAAGAATTGAAATTAAAAAGCAGCAACTCGAACTTAAGCATAAAAAATTTGATTACGAGAAGCAAAAAAAAAGTAAATCACTTTACTCTTAAGGACAGCTTTGAGTACCTGGAAGCATAAATGATTGAAATCTCACCTTATTTATTTATTTATTTATTAGATTTTTAATGAGTTTTCGTTTAGTTTTAGTGAATTATTTTGTTTTGAGTTTAATTAATATGAGGTATGAATTTTCATTACAGTACTAAAAACTAGTATTTTCTTTGCTATAAAGTGTTGCCTATTTCATCCCTGATCCGTCTACCTTCACTTTGCAGTGTCGCATTTGGTGGAGCGTCAACGCTCTCTTCAATACCATTTAATGGGCTTGATAGATCATCTAGGTTATATTTTATGTTGTACTCTCAGCAGATGTTATGCAGCGCGCAGCAGGCATTCACAATTTTCACCACTTTTTATGGCCGATAATGCAACGTCTTAATAAGCAGCGAAAACGCCATTTCAGCGCTTCTATTGTTCGTTCCACAATATTTCGACCTGAAGAATTGGCCAAATTTGATTTATATTCCTTGGAGTTGTAAAGTATATGACGTTAATAAAAAAAGGTTCTATGCCATATCCGCAATCTCCCAATAACCTATTTGTCCGGTCACGTTACTCATACATCCCAAAAAAATATTTTCGGGCGTTACTAATGTTAGATAAGAATGAGTCATGGCTAGAGCCGGGATACCGAGCATCAACCATTCGAATTTCATGTCACCATTACAAATCTAAACATACAATACATAAATCCATTCTTGTATAAAAGTCCGTTTTCACGACTACTCACAATCATGGCATTCACAATCAATCAAGTCAATATCCCTTTCGATTATAAAATTTATATGTTCATTAAGACTCGACTTGATGATTTTGATGTGTGTACCAACGATGCAACCAATTATTGAGGAAATTTTAAACTTTAAATAAAAATTGTCCCTTGAACTGCATTTTTCGTTGAAGTCCATTTCAAGTTTCACCCAATGCGGACAAATTAACTTATCTATCCGGTGTACAACTTTGCTTCCGCCGTTTTTTCCAAAATTAAAGGTTTTATTGCGAAAAAGTGCTTACAGTAAAAAGTATTGTCCTTCGCTAGCGACAACTTTCTCCCATCTTCCCGGCAATTTTCGGATCCCGGCTCGAAAAAAGGAGTCCTCTTTTGACTCTATCCATGAAGCAATCCATTGATTGATTGAAAATGTTGATCTGCCAGGCCGTGTGCCATCGAACGGAATAGTTGGAAGTCAGAAGGGGAGACATCTGGGGAATACGGCGGGTGGGGCAAGACATAACATAGCATGTATATAACAATACATACAAAAGCATTTTTGAAAGCAAAAAATATTATATCTTTTTATGATATAATATAATATCGAATTCCGCCCACTGTATATATGACAAAGTTGGTTCGGTGACGTCAACGGTTGGCGCAACCTTATATTCTATAAACCTTTTTTCAATGTATTTTGTTGATGTAATAGAAAGTACTTAATGACAAAATCTATTTCTCATATATTTTGTTTGAGTAATTCAATGAAATGGAAAGAGGAACAAGCAATCATCCGATGTGACAACTTCACCTTCTCTAAATTCGCCGTGGCTTCTTGTCTCACCGAACGCGGTTCAGTAAAATTAGTAACCGAACAGGACTAAACGAACAGTACTAATACCAAAATTTGAATAAAACGAATACAATACAATTTTAACAATCAAAATAAATGCTAAATAATTTGCAATATGCAAAAAATACATAGAAAGATTTGATTCCAATCCATGGGATTTAAATACCGTGAAATGAGAAACTCGTACGTATTATATAATTTTTAGTTCATACATATGCAGTTCGTTACATCTCATTTAGGGTGCAGTTAGGGCTAATAAACTTCATCTTGATCACCTAGCTGAAAAAGAGGATATGGTGTTAGACCAAAGAGGTGGTTGATGTCGAACGAGCACTTGAAATACATAAAAGACATACGTTGGGCATGTTAGGCGAAAGATATCATTGATTTGTTACCCTCATCATTTCTTCTGAAAGCTTTCATCAAATCTTAATGGTAAAGTTCTTGTTATTGTTGTTGTAATATCGGCTATGTTAACCCCGCTGGAGCTCGCTGTCTGCGATGAGTGGTCGCTTATCTACGAATGCGCCATTCACGGCAAGGAAGTCTTTGCCGATGTTGACTAACTCCTGGTGAATGGACTTCAGTGCTTGTCTGTACGCTGTCCTGGCCAGCGGTTGTACCACATGTTGCTGGATTGTGTCCTTTAAGTCTAGTACTCCCTTAATGATGTACCTAGATGAGATGCTTAAGACCATTGACTATCTGGGTGTTTATGACGTTCAGTGCTTTTGTGGTACTGTGCACTTTACGGAAGCTATGTTGATGTGTTGCTGGACGCAGATGGTGATTGTAAGTCGTAGCAGCAAAGCCTTAAGTGTCCTCACTACTGGAGAGAGGAGAGTTATCAGCCGATGAGAGTCTCCATTGTTAGCTGACTTCCTCGGCTTGAGTAGTGGGACCACCCTGCCCATTTTCCACATATCGGTTATAATTAAGATGATCAAAGACAAGTTGAGGCCCTTGGTGAGGAAGTCTGCGTCCGCTGGTCCAAGATGCTTAAGCATCAGCATGCTTATTTCTTCGGCACAGATGAATTTGGAGGCTTTCGCCTTCCCAATGGCCCCCTAAACCTCTTCACTAGGGAATTCAAGCGCCGCACTGGTGTTTGGCAGTTTGCGCAGGCGGCGGGTTACACGTTGCTTGGTTTTGTCTACCGAAAGATGCCGAATGGTATGAAATATGTATGAAAATTCCACTCGGTCATGGCGTCCTGTGAGGTTAGACTACGATTTGACTGTAGCCTAGATCTTGGTTGCCACAGAGAAGAGATTACTGGACCTGATTAGGCTGATTAGGGGATTTCCGGGATCGGCGTTACGAAAGGTGTTGCGCCTTGGTGCTAAAACCGCGGCGGTGGCAACGACAAACTTGCGGAATAAACGTTCACCAGAGGTGACGTCTGATGGAGTGGGCAGAGCACCGAAGGCATTTTCAGTAAATTCCGTGGAGCCGGACCAGTGCTGTTTTAAAGTTAACAAATGCTCGGTGTTCCACGGAAACAAAGTCAGGAGTTCTGTCAATCGTGATTTGTATGAGTAAGTGGTGCAATGCTAGTGTCAGTATAGGTCGTCAGTTTATACAGTTTATCAGACCAGCACTCGCGATTGTTATATCTGTCGAGCTTTGGCAATTACCCATAATTCTGGTGGGAATGTTGTCGTTCATTGTGAGAATATCGAGTCGTCTATCTCCATTCCTCAATAGCCATTTGACAGACTAGGATGCCAAAGATCGGTTTTCGCCTCTGAGTAGCGCACCTATATCAGGGCTGTATCCAACAGGGCAGCATCTAACTGGAGGAATGTATATATTAAATATTTCGAGCTTGGCATCACCTGACCGGATAGCTATGCCCTGACATTCTAGGATAGTAACCCTGCGGTCGATGTCGCCGTCGATAAGAGGATACTGCATGGTGTTGTGTGGGATGAACGCCAAGCCATCATAGTGCGCTCGTGATCCTTGCGGATAATATTGTATCCGACCCTGCTCAGAAGAGTTCGTTGCAGTTAAACTGTAACAGTCGAGTAGGTCTCGGGGGGACGTTCGTGATTCTAGGGGTGGGGGAGTGATATGTGAATTTAGTGTGTTGTTGCTGTATTACCCGCTGGGTTGGGTGCCGCACATTGATGTTGGTTGGCGGCGTTGTTGTATATAGAGGCGGACAGACTTCTACAGCATTGGGCAACGTACGCATCACTCCACCCAGAGGCTGCTGGGTAGCCCTCGCACCAGAGGAGGGAGAGAAGCTGGTTGTGGGTAGGGATGGGCATTGGTGGGAGTCATACTGCAGGGTGTTCCTTGAGACCGTAGAGGTCTGTTGGTTACCCAAAGTGGATATAGGTGCTGAGGTGACTCCAATCATTGCACTTGTTGAACCTAACAGAGGTAGAGGAGGCTTTTTTAGCACATGCAGCAGAAATGGTCCGACGGACCAGGGTTGGTTTCGACACTAGCTCTTATGAGAAGGGTTTAAAGCAACCCAGCTGTGATGTGTTGATTCGCTGGTGCACTTATATTAATAATGTTACCTGCAGACCTAAACGGCGTTAGGTTTCGGTGCGTAGAACCGGCTGTCTTGAGAGTTGTAGTCAAGTCCTTCCAACGAAGTGATTGTCCTCTCCTTCCACCGGAAGGAACTACAGCAAATACTTTCTAAACTAGAGTGATCTTATCTAACCAGACAACAAGCTCAGCTAGCTTAGCCACCATAAATCTACGCAAATCTTTTTTCTCGAAATGTCTAAGAACAATACAACAGGGCAGGTTTGATGACGCACTTAAGTTCTAATCGTCGTCGAGCATGATTTCATCGGATCATATTTTGCCAGGAAGCTGATGATGCACCTTATCAGTTCTTCGCCTACACTTCTCCGAGTTCTCAGCTTAAAACGAAAAAAAAACCGGCCTAATGCTGAAAATCGGCATCGTCAGGGAAAATGGCGATACGGTAACATTAGTATGCTTTTGTTCTCTTCTTAATCGCCTGAGCTTGAAAGAACAACTGCTATTCCATTTTTTTATTCCAATACCAGTTCATCGACTTAAGCAAACAGCTTGAATATATTGAATGATTCGCATATCAAAAATATAACAATAAACTGAAAAACCATAATTTCACAAATAAATTTCCCAAAACAGAAAAAAAAATTCTCGTGCAGAGTTTTTCCGCGTTTATCCAATTCACAGCATTTTGTCTACATTGCTTGTACATAATACCTTAACAAAGACAGAGCGATGAAAGAGACGATGAGCATTGACATTCGTCAGCGAAGACGTAGACGATATTTACCATAAGGCCGAATATTTTTCCAAATATTTTGAAGTGCTC